CATAGAGTGTACTGATGCAAACCTGCATGGCATAGCCTAATACACACCTAGGCTATATGATATGCTTCTTATGGGTCCACCATCATAGATGTGGTCTGTCATTGACTGAAAAGTTGTTATGCAGTGCATGACTGTGATATAATAAAAGAGAAAAACCACACGATCATCTCAAAACATGCAGAAAAAATATTTGAAGAGTCCAACATCTTTTCATGATAAAAACACTCAACAAACTAGGAATAGAAGAGAATTTCTTCAGCCTAAAAAGGGCATCTACACAAAACCCCATTAATTAATGGTATAAGACTGAAAGCCGTCTTCCTAAGATCAGGAACAAAACTAGGATGTCTGCTCTCTCTGCTTCTATTCAACAGTGTACTGGAAATTCTAGTCGGGGCAATTAGGCAAGAAAAATAAGTAAAAGGCATCCAATCAACGAGGAAGAGGTAAAACTATCTCTATTTGCACATGACATGATTTTGTACACAGAAAACCCTAATGAATCCACACATGCACACACACAAAACTATTAGAGGTGAAAAACAAGTTCAGCAAGGTTGCAGAATGCAAGAGCAATATGCAAAAATCATTGGTATTTCTATACATCAGACATGAGAAATCAGAAAAAGAAGTTAAAAAAACAACTCTATTTACAATAGCACCAAAAAGAATATAATATTAATAAATTTAATTTAAAAAGTCGAGACTTGCACACAAACTACAAAACATCATTGAAAGAAATTAAAGACTTAAGTAAATAGGAAGGCATCCTGTATTTACGGATTGGAAGATTTAATATTAAGATGGCAATACTCTCCAAAGTGATCTGTGGACTCAATATAATCCCTTTCAAAATCCCAGCCAACTTTTTGCACAAATCAATAAGCTGATCCTAACATTCATGTGGAAATGCAAGGGACCCAGCATAGCTTAAACAATTTTTAAAAAGAAGAACAAATTTGGAGGACTCACAGCTCCCAATTTCAAAACTTACTACAAATCTACAGTAATCAAAGCTGTGCGGCACTGGCATAAAGGATAGACACATAAGTCAACGGAACAGAATTGAGAGTTGAATTGACTGTTAAAAAATAAATTCATACATTTATGATTGACTGATTTTTGACAGTGGTGCCAAGACAATTCAAAGGGGAAAGAACAGTCTTTTCAACAAATGACTCTAGGACAACTGGATATCCACATGCAAAAGAATGAAGCTAGACCCCTGCCTTACACCACATATGACAATTGATTAAAAATGGAACAAAGACCTAAATCTAAGAGCTAAAACCATAAAGGCTCTTTGAAGAAAACATAGGTATGAATCTTCATGACTTTGGATTATGTAATGGTTTCTTAGATGTGATATCAAAAGCACAAGCAACCAAAGAAAAAAATAGGTAAAAGGACTTCAGCGAAATTGAAAACATTTTTGTTTCATAGGATGCTATTAAGAAAGTGAAAAAACCACCCACAGATTGGAAGAAAATATTTGCAAACCATATATTTGGTAAGGTCCAGTATCCAGAATATATAAAGAACTCTTACAACTCCATGATAAAAAGGCAAATAATTCAATTTAAAAATGGGCAAAGGATCTGAATAGACATTTCTCCTGAGAAGATACACAAATAGCCAATAAGCACATGAGGATGTTCAATATCATTAGTCATAGGGAAATGTAAATTAAAACCACAATGAGATATCACTTCACGCTCACTAGGATGGCTATAATCAAAAGACGGACTATAAAAAGTATTGACAAGGATATGGAGAAATTGCTGGTGGGAATGTAAAATGGTGCAGCCACGTTGAAAAAGTCTGGTAGCTCCTCAAAAGGTTAAACATGGAGTTACCACGTGACCTAGCAATTCCACTCCTATGCCTATACCCAAGAGAACTGAAAACATACATCAACACAAAAACTTGTACATGAATGTTCATAGTAGCATTATGCATAGAAGCCAAAAAGTGGAAACAACCCAAACGTCCATTAATTGATATAGAGATAAACAACATGTGGTATATCCATAAAATGGAATATTATTTGGCCTAAGTAAAAGAAGCCAGACACAAAAGGCCACATATTATCCATTGCTATGAAATGTCCAAAACAAGCAAATCCATACAGACAGAAAGTACATTAGTGGCTATCAGGGGCTAGGTGGAGGAAGTAATGGGCATAATTGCTAATGAGCATGAGGTCTTTCTTTGGGATGATGAAAATGTTCTGGAATTAGATGATGGTGATGGTTCCACAATTTTGTGAGCATACTTAAAACAACTTGTATAATTTAAAAGGGTGAATTTTATGGTATGAGAGTTCTATCTTTAAAAAAAAATTCACCTACAAATACACAATACTATCAACAAAATCAAGAAATTACCATTGCTTAATTACTGCCATGTAATCCTTAGACCCCATTAAAGTTTTTCTAAGTGTCTCAATAATATCATAAATATAAGCATACACACATACGCACACAAAAAGTATCCAGTCCAGGAGCAGATGTATTTAGTGGTCATGTCTTTTTAGTCTCCTTCAATCTTGAACAATTCCTCAGTCTTTCAATTTTATGACCATGGGTACTTTTGAAGATTACATGGCAGTTATTTTACAGAATGTCACTCAATTTGATTTTGCCTGATGTTTCCATATGACTAGATTCAGATTATGCATCTTTGGTAAGAACATCAGAAGTGATGCTATGTTCTTGCCACTGTGCCCTATCAGATGGCACACAATTTTGATCTGTCCCATTACTGAAGAGACTCATTGTGATTGCTTAAATAAGGTCGATATCTGCTAGGCTCCTCCATTGTATAGTTACTCTATTTCCCATTATAATTATTTTGTGATGAGGTACTTTGAAACTATGTAAATTCAGCATAACTTCTAATTTATTCGTTTATCTATAATCACTTATCGCTTCATTTATTATATTGTCTATTATTTTAGTGTGGACTCATGATTTCCCACTTTACTCAATGGGGTATATATTCAATGGGTTTGATAAGTGCTATAATCTACTACTATCATTACTTATTTTAATGCTCAAATTATCCCAAATTTGGCCAGTGGGAACCCCTTCAAGTTGGCTTCAGTGTCCTTTTGACATGTCCCCATCACTCTTAGCATTTCTATTCTTTCTGGCACAAAAAGATGTTCCAGGCTCATATTGTCCTTTTTTTCTGCGTCAGCCCTTGGAATCAGCTCTGGTTCCTCTAAATGGAGAATGCTATTTAGAAACCAGATCTGGCTGCTGGTGTGCTCTTTGGAACCGGGGTTCTCTGCTCCCAGGTGCTCTCATGGACGGAGCTAGAGAATGAACATATAATTGTGTGTATAGAAATATGTATTCATATACAAATATATATGAGATATTTATAAACTATGTGTGGTTTTGGTCAAATCAATTAGCCTCCTTCAGTTCTAGTATTGGAATCTGTAAAACATGAGTAATAACTCTCTAAGATACTATATATAAAAGCACTTGATGATTGCCAGAGCTGGACAAATTCCAATTATTTTTTAGTATGATAAAATGCAATGCCTCATTGTCAGGATTATCACTCAGTTGTTGCCCACAGGATCACCATTCTGATTGTTGGTACTCTTGCCATACAGTTGTTAAATATTTTGAATATCATTCCTGCCATTTCTTCAAACACATTTTAAGTTCTAGCTTTACCATTTTTGTCAGATATACTACACATTGTAATGACTCCCTGCTTCTGTTTATGTCATAGTGCAAGTCTGGTACGTCATTCTATCCTTTCACTACCTAAAAAGTTTCAACTAATTCTTTCAGATTTTGTTTAAATGTCTAACTTTCATAGATTCTTTCAAGCTCCACCATGTTACCATAGATTATTTGTACTTCTTTAAAAATAATTTTCATACTATATTATTATTTATAAGTCTGTTTTCCCAGGCAGAAAGTGTGGGAAGAAGGGTGTCCTCTGCTTGATTAGCTCAGACCCGTGTTTTAGTCATTTGCGTATTCTCCAAGTCAAGCACGGCATGCACAGCACACGACACCCTATTATAAATATGTGTGGAACATTAGAATCAATCCTAGGAATTCTTATACATTTAATATAGTTGTAATTAATAATTCATAGAGTGTTGTATACACAGATCCTTCCAGAATAGCACTGTCCAATACAGTAGCCACTAGACTTATGGGGCTACTGATCACTTCAAATAAACCTAATCTAAATTGAGATACACTGCAAGTGTGAAATATATATCTCATTTCAGGACACGAAATATTTCATTAATCAATTTTTATGTTGATTACATGTTGAAATAATACTTTGGATATACTGGGTTAAATAAAACATATTATTAAAATTAATTTCACCTATTTCTTTTTAATGTGGCTTTTTAAAATGTGGCTACCAGAAAATTTTAAATTACATATGTAGCTCACATTATATTTCTACTAGACAGTGCTATTCTAGTAGTTTCTGGGTTAGTGATGGGGAACAAAGAGGTCAAAAGACTGAGGACTAGCTATATGGCCTCCTTAGAGCAAGGACAGTAAATAAAAATTCTTGCATCGCTCTAAAACTTTGCTAGCTAGAGGGACAAGACTATTTGAATGGATGCCATAAAAGAGAGACATGAGGGAATGCAGGCATCTAAGAGTAAGAATACAGTATTTGGGTGAACTGATTATGTCTTTTCAGACGTCTCCATAGGCCTCTACTCTCTAATCCTGCCCTAGAACTGGACAGGCCTGCAAGAGGGGGTCAGACAGCTATACTGCTCTCACTTGTTTTTTCTACGCACAACTTATTTGCTTGCCTCTTTACTTCACTTAGATAATTTGGATTCTTTGGCCTGAAGTAAAGAACTCCAGAGATTACAAGTCCCTTTTTTCTTTTCAGTCTCTTGTCTCAATACCATCCTCCAGTGATGTGCTGTTTTCTCAAATTTGAAGTGTCACTGGATTAAGAGAAATAAGCAGTTAGTCAATTATTTCATTACTGACCTGCATTTCATATTTCAGAGTCATGTGGAAGCACCAGGATCCCATTCCTACCACTGAAATTAAAACAAACAAATAAAAAAACCAATTAGCATAAAAGTCTTTGGGGGTGGCCAGACTAACTTGAGAAGACAATAAGACATTTCACAACACTGAGTTTTAAGAAGAACAAAGTTTATGAAATCTTGTGGCAGGATAGAGCAGACTCTGCATGAGTTCTATAATTGATGGAATTTTGGTGTAGTACTTCCTGCACTTCTGATCCAAATAGCTAAACTGTATGCTTACTAAAAGTCAGTCAGTTATATCTCTTCCCAAACCTGTTAACACCACTGTATTTAGTTATCAGAAATATGACTGCAAAAAGAGAGCTATTGTTTCTACCAAAACTATTTAAAATGCTTAAAACATACTCAATGAAAGACAGTTACTAATAAAAATTTCTATTGAATTAGGTGTGGTTAAGATATCTGTTACAGGTTGGGAAAAACAGTAAAAATCTAAAGATTCTGTATTCACGTCTCAAAGTTCTTCCCAAGTGCCTCTGTTTTAAATAAACTTTTCACTCTAGGGTTTTTAAAATTTTTCCTTTGTTTCTTAATGCAAGAAAGACTAAGTAGAACTATAATTAGGGTCCCATATTCAAAGGCCATGCCCTACATCAAATAATTGTCAAAGATTATAAAACTATATGTTTTCAATTAAAATAAAACTTTGTCAGTATATACATATTTTTCAACAATTATATTCTTTCACATCTTAAAAATTAACTGACCAACGATCAGCCCCTATCACATCTGATAATAGGGCTTCCACTGTGATTCATTAAGTTCAGTTCAACAAGCATTTACTGAGCCCCTCCTATTCACCAAATTCAGTTACAGATGCTGAGGGACAAAGAAAAGATCCAGTCGTTGGCCTTAATGAAGCATATAGTCTAATGGAGGAGACAGGCAGATAAATAGAAGATGCCAGTACATGGAGATATGATAGAGATATGCACAGAGTGCCATGGGAACACAGAAGAGGGGCACATATGTCAGGAGAAAGCAAGAATGATGCCAAAGGAGTTAGCCCAATAAACACGGTAAACGGGGGTGTCACCAAATAATCTGTACAAAGCCACTTGAGAAAAATGTCAAACTCTTTGTTACTCTTGCTTTTTAAAAAATCACTATGTACATTATCACATCATTTTTTATTGCTCAAGATGAGATAAGAAAAGGAAGAGTTACTGTACTCGTTCTACTAAAGAAAGGAGGAAGCAAAACAGTCCTTGAGCGAGGCCTGATTAAGCGGCCAGTCTGCCTTCAGGATGAAGAGTCATCCCACTTCAGTTTTATTTTTTTACTTCTGGTATATTGTGTGACTTTAACTCACAGGGTTTGATTTTTTCCCCCTTCCGTTGATTTATCCACCTTTGCACCTTCTAATTTCTCCTTTGGAAAATAGACACCAGCCATGAGAGTGGGGTCCCCATGATGGGAATAGTGTCCAACAAGAAGAAGAAGAAACAAGACCTCACTCTCTCTCTCCGCCTACATGCGACAAGGATAGGTCACATGAGCACACAGGGAGAAGGGGGCTGGCTGCAAGCCAAGAAGGGGGCTCTCACCAGCAACCGAAGCAACCAGCACCTTAATCCTGGACTCCCAGTTTCCAGAACTGAGAAAAATAAGTGTCTACGGTTCAAGCCACCCAGTCTATGGTATTTTGTTATGGCAGCCTGAGCTAAGACAGACATTAAGGTTTTTTCCCCCATATTTTGGCTATCATGAATAATGCTGCTGTGAACATTCACATACAAGTTTTTGTGCAGACATATGTTTTCATTTCTCTTGGGTATATACCTAAGGGTGCAATTTCCAAGTCATATGGAAACTCTATATTTAGCATTTTGAAGAACTGCCATAGTGTTTTTCAAAGTGGCTGCATCATTTTACATGCCCATCAGTAATACATGAATTTCTCCACATCTTCCCAATACTTGCTATTGGTTGTCATTCTGATTGTAGCCATCTTAATGAACTGAAGTGGTATTTCACTGTGGTTTTGACGAGCATTTCCCTAATGACTGTCCTATTCCCTGTTCTTTTCTAGTAGAATGTTCCAAATTTTAGATTTGTCTGATTCTGTTTTCTTAACGGACTTTATTGTTTAGAGCAATTTTAGGTTATCAACAAAATTGAGCAGAAGGTACAGAGATTTTCCATATAAACCCCCCCCTCATTCCTCCCCATCAACATCCCCTACCACAGTGGCACATTTGTTACAACTGGTGAACCTACCCTGACACATCGTTAGCACACAGAGTCCAGTTTACATTACGGTTCACTCTTGGGTATGGACGAATTTATAATGACATATACGCACCATTATAATATCATACAGGATGGTTTCATTGCCCTAAAAATCCTCTGTGCTCTGCCATTTCATCTCTCCCTTTTCCCTAACCCCTGGCAATCACTGATCTTTTCACTGTCTCCATAATTTTGCCTTTTTGCAGAATGTCATATAGTTAGAATCATACAGTGTGTAGCCTTTTCAGACTGGTTTCTTTCACTAAGTAATATGCACTCAAGGTTCCTCTGTGTCTTTTCGTGGCTTGATAGCTCATTTCTTTTTAACAATGAATAATATTCCTTTATCTGGCGGTATCACAGTTCATTTATCCATTCATCTACTGAAGGACATCTTGGTTGCTTCTAAGTTTTGGCATTATGAACAAAACTGCTATACACATCTGTGTGCAGGTTTTTGTGTGGACATGTTTTCAACCCTTTTGGGTAAATACCAAGGAGTGTGATTGATTGCTGGATCATATGGTGAGACACTGTTTAGTTTTGTAAGAAATCACCAAACTGTCTTTCAAAGTGGCTGGACCACTTTGCACTCCCACCAGCAATGAGTGAGAGTTCCTGTTGCTCCACAACCCCATTCCCTTTTCAATAACTATTTCCTGGGCACTTAACAATGTTCCTAGCATTTCCACTGGCATAAAGAAGTAAACAAGAAAGATATGGTTCCTGTCCTCAGAACTCAAAGCAAGCCATTAAAAATACGAAAGGGGCTGCTTCAGCTATGGAGTCTGTGCCCTGTCTAGGGAGGGAGAAGAGGGCTATCAGAGGAAGTAACACGTAAGCTAAGACCTGAAGAATCAATTGGAGTTAACTAGGTGAGAAAAATTGTTTTTAATATTTTTTTTTCCTTTTTTCTCCCCAAAGCTCCCCTGGAACATAGTTGTATATTCTTCGTTGTGGGTCCTTCTAGTTGTGGCATTAGGGATGCTGCCTCAGCATGGTTTGATGAGCAGTGCCATGTCCGCGCCCAGGATTCGAACCAACAAAACACTGGGCTGCCTGCAGCGGAGCGCACGAACTTAACCACTCGGCCACAGGGCCAGCCCTAGAATTTTTTTTTAAATGAGATCATTCTGTGTAGAAGGATCATCCAGAGTAAAGGCAAGGTAGTGCATTCAAAGAACTGAAAGAGCTTGGCTTAGACAACGAACAATGCTGGAATAGGGATCCAGTGAGGAGACTGGCATGATTTGTAGGCAATAGACTGAGAAGAGCTTTTAAAGTCAGGTTACAATCTGATTCCGATTTGGACTTTATCCTGAAGACAAAGTTGCATATGTGTAAGTAGTACGCTGAAAAACTACATACACATACACAAATACATACACACATACAATACATACATACATATCTATACATATAGGGATTAACGTGACTGGTTTTGCATTTTAAAAAATATCACTCTGGTTACAAGGCAGGAAAATATCTAAATGAGTAGTTTCCCAACTTTGACCGCAAAAAAATTTTTTTATAAGTTGTATATATACTGCTCTGTTAAGATACTGCATATATTTTAAAACATATAAAATATATTTAGAAAAATGAGCTAAGGAAATAACATATATACAAAAAGAAGTCACAAAGTCTTCTTTCTGCACTCCAACAGATCATTTGTCTCACCACCTGTGGTGTGCGCATCCTACTTGGTGACCGCTAGTTTAAATGAAAAAGACTAACCTCCTTGCAAGGCATACACGGGGCTTCATAACCTGGCTCCCCCAGTTTCTTTTACCGCAACCTGTAGTTCAGTCACACTGACCGTTTACCCAACTGATCTCTTATCTCCCATCATCAACCTCCAGTCTGCTCTGCCTTTGCTCTTCACTGCTTACCCTGCCCTTTCAGCCTGGAATACCCATCCCCTCTGTCGTCCAATCCCACCTGCCCCTAACCTATGTCTCTGCTTATTGAAATCTTATGCAACTTCTCGATCCAACTTATTTTTTGCTCTTTATTCCTTTCAGCTTTTCTCTTTTGAAACAATTTCAAACTTCAGGAATGTTGAAAGACTAGTATAGAGAATTCCTGTATATGTTCTACTCAGATTTACCAATTTTAACAATTTGCTATATTTATATATATATATAACTATTATTTTTCTGAACCATTTATGAGTACATTGGATACATCATGTCCTTTCACCCCTTAATACTTCAGTGTGTATCCTAAATCCATTTTAAATGTCACCTAAATCAAATCTTTCTCTGCTTCCTCCCCAAGAAGTCAACCGTGCAAGGCATCTAAGAAATAATGTCTGGCAAGGTCAGTAGTTATCAGCTTTTGGGGAACACTATTTTGCCCAGAGAGCTTTATATATACTCGGCCCTCGGTCCAGAAAGTCCTGATTCAGTGGGTGCCCTGGTACCTGTATTTTAAAGGCCTGCCAATGATTTTGTTGAACATCAAAAGCCAAAGACCACTGTTAAATCTAAGATTCATAAAGGCATGGTCCAGCTCTCCATAGTGCACTAAAGAAACTCCAGAACCTGGCACAGTGCCATGCATTACTAAGTATTTGCTGATTGGGTGATTTTCTTCCTTCTCCCTTGACGATCCAGCATTTCACATTAGAGTAAGAGTATGTACAGATACGGCAGAGGATGGTGAGGAACGTCCCTGAATTGAGAAAATATAATAGAGGAAACGAGTTCTGAAGAGGAAAGAATGTTATTTGAGTGGAACGTGGACAATAAGAA